CACCTCCTAACAGTGCTACTCCCTTTGGGGCCATTTTCATTCAAACCACCACACCCCTCACCCATGCTCCTGTAAGTAAAACTCATCTGGTTCATCAAGTTGGACTTCAGTGGCATCCACACTTTGGTCTGTCATGGGTCTCTGTCTGGGATGAATAGGTGTGTGTGTGTGTGTGTGTGTGTGTGTGTGTGTGTGTTCTGTCTCCCCAGGAAAAGCCGTGTCACACAACAGCTGCTAATTTACAGATATGAGGAGCGAGATCCGTTCAGAAAGAGTTATTTCAAAATGGAATGTTCACGAAAAGCTGCAACAATGACAGAGCCATATGCTCGCAGAAATTACACTGGAGCAAAAGAGGCTGATGGCAAATACCAACAAAGAAGCTCTCAAATGAAACGCCTTGGTTGTGCATTTCCAGAGAAAACCGCCCAGAACAAATGGGTTTCTGACAGATCCTTTTCCCTTAAGAGATCTGTGATGGGAAAACGAGGGTTATCAGGCTTTTAACCATCAGAACTGACCAGAAATGGAAACTTTCTCTGTGGTTTGACAATGCTCCTTCTCACCTCACCCTGCAGTATGAAGAAAAAGCTCTCAAAATATTATCCCTAAAACTACAACAGAAAAACAAATCAAACTATTTTGCCAATTTAAACTTTGAAAAGTCCCTCTGCTTTAGTAAGCATCAGCTTTAGTTGTTCTCCTTTTTCTTTGTAATATGCGCGTGCACACACACACACGATTTTATTGGGCACTTTAATGTTTCCAAGTTTGTTGTCGTTTATGGAAATTTGATACTCTGAATTCTTTTTCAGTAAAAACTGGTTTAAACAAGCTGACTGAATTTGCCAGTCCTATGCAGAGTTCCTGAAAATGATAGCCAAAGTATTTAACCTTTGCCTATAATCCAGACAAAAACGAATAAACTGATTGTACCATCTCTTCACATGTTCAGTATAGTGCGCTAATTCAATAAATGATAGAATTATAGGTGGGAAAAATGATTAGCTGAGATTTAAGCAAGAGTTGGCAAGCTTTGTGAAATATTAATTAAAACAGTACTCCAAATAAGATTCAAATGGTACATGATTAGAATCTCTACGTAGCAGATATACACTAGAGAGCCAGGCACTGTGGTGCACGCTTGCAACTCAGTAATCCAAGGGCTGAGACAGGACTACTGTGGGTGTTAAGAGTCACATCATGTTCAAGGCCAGCCTGGATGACACAACAAACAAATACCAAAAACATCCATTTACAAACACTTCAGTACTGAAAAAAATTGAAGAAAATGTCCCAGGTACACTATGTGTATGAGCTTTCTCTCGTAGAGGTTTTTAATGACACTTGCCACACGGTTAACTACTATAAGCAAGTTAGGTCCAGGGAAGGCTGCAAACGCTTTCATTAAGACTGGGAAGTTGTAGTGGGGAGACAGCAAAGCATACTTCTGGGAGGATGGGTTGGTTCTGCCACAGACCATGCTGGGCCCTTCACCAGCCACTCACAGCGCTGCCTTCTCACAGAAATAGACTGAGCTGAGTGAAGCCAGCTGCTACTCTGAGGGCAAGTCAGGATGCTGTATTTATTAGAAATTGAAGACGTGAGACAAAGTATAATTTATATACCAATAATCCTATTTTTTCATTAGACAAAGTTTAAGCTCAACAGAAAGAAGCAGCGACCTGGAAAGTATTTAGATCAGTGTTTCCCAACCTTAGGGTTGAACGACCCTCACACAGGGGTCATCTAAGACCACCAGAAACATGGATATTTACATTATGACTCATAACAGTAGCAAAATTACAATTATGCAATAGCAATGAAGACGACTTTATGTTGGGGGAATCACTACAACATGAGAGGCTGTATTAAAGGGTGGCAGCGTTAGGGAGGCTGGGAACCACTTCTTTCCATGGGGGGTTCTCTTGGCTTGGCAGATGGGAAGGTTATAGAGCACAAAGGCTGCTGGTACAGTGTCACTTCCCAGCCTGCACACTGTCCTGCAACCTCACACTTCCTGGGCTGTGACTTCAGGGCAGGACCTGACGGTATTTCTCAGGTCCCTCAAACATGCAGTCCTCTCCCTCCCTTTACAGAAGGCAGCAAAGAAGCCTTACACACTTGGTATCTTTTTTCACCTGCTCTTTAGACGAACCTGCTGCCCCTTCCTGCACCCTGAGAAATGCACCATGACACCAACCGCTGCCTCTGTAGACCCCCACACATCACGCAGGTTACCTGGCCTGCACAAAGCACTGCTGTTCTGCTCCCTGTGTAAAAGATGGTTGTCCCCAACGATTGGAAGCAATTAGCTCTGAGGCCGTAGCTCAGGTCAGACTGAAGTCTGGGCTTCTCTAACTGTATCTCCTATCCCCATCCCCAGGAGGCCAGGAGGTGGGGTGGGGGTTGTGGAGACAGGACCCCCCTTGGCTCTTCTACTCTCTTCTCCGCGGCTCCTTCAGCCACAGTAACTCTGCACCTGGCCCGAGTTTCTGCGCTAGGTCCTGGTATTCTATTCATTCTGAGTGGAGTCTCTTCAGCTGATGGCCTGGTACAGAGGCAGTCTACCTTCCACAAGAAACGCAAAATGAAATCACCAAAAAACCTACAGTCATTTCTTCAATCCCCCTCCCCCCCCCCCCCACACACACCTTACAAGCTTTCTAGTCTATGCTAGGGCCCAGATAAGGAACAGTCTGGCACCCTTAGGCCATTCTCCACACTAGGGCATAGTTTTGAATAATACCATTGCTGCTATCCAAGGGAGGGGATTTCACGTAGGATCCCTAATGCCTGAGGCAGCTTACATCAGCATTGGATGCTCAGCGGCCACTAGCTAGCTGAAGAGATGTTGGCTCAGGGCTCTGTGTATATCCTATTTCTATGTACATAGAACAGTCCAGTATCTTCGTTCACCATCTCAGCACTTGGGAGACCGAGGCAGAAGGATTACTGTGAGTTCAAGACCGCTCTGGGCCACAGAATGGGATGCTATCTTTAAAGGTAAAAATACCCAGCACCTCTCCCCACCACTGAGACACAATGTCCCTGAGGAATAGGTGGACTCAAACCACGAGTGACACCAGTGGCGATGTCTCCACCGGCCAGGCATTTTCCTTATTATGCTTAGACCTGGCAAGGTGGGAGGACAGGGCCAGCACAGGACAGGCTGAAGACAGATACGCTCTGGTCCGTGCAGTTGCTTTAACAAACTGCAAGTGCTTAGCATTCTTACTCCGACTCAGGTCACATATTTCTCAGAGCTTGTTCCCCAGACCAGGGCTCTTCAGGCGATCATGCTTAGAAAAAAAGAAAGCTAACATTTGTTTTCCATTACATATACATGCATACATATATAAAATATAGAGATACGTATGTATTTGTATATATTTAAATAGACACACATAAAATGTGTGTGTGTATATATATATATGTACCTTTTAAAAAAACATTTATCAGTGTTTTGTCTTTATGTATGTCTGTGCACCATGAGTGTATCTGGTACATGTGAAGGCCAGATTTGCAGATTCCTTGGAACCGGAGTTACAGAAAATTGAGAGCCACCATGTGGGTACTGAGAAGCCAAAATGGATCCTTTGGAAGAGCAGCCAGTGCTCTTAACCACTGAGCTGAGTCTCCAGCGTCTCCCGCTTACATTTTGTACTTTCATGATCTATTAATCTATACTCATTCCTCCAAACACAATTTTCTTAAACTAATTTCATTTTACCTCATCATTTTGCCATGTTTTCTCTCCTATGGGAAAGGAGACTCTATGCAGGGGGTAATTTAGGGACTGGTGAAAACAACCCAAAGCTTTCCTTCATTGCATCTGAGTTTAGTGAGGTTACAAAGAGTTTTAGAGTTGACTAGATGCTTTACTCTGCTCAGGAAAAAGCATTTAATGTCAGGTTTAAAAGTATCCTAGACAGAGAAGGGAATGCAAGAAGATGAAGCATGGGTGTGGAACTAATCAGACTGCAGAAGACAGATGAACATATATTAACCAATAAAGAGTTTGCACTCTCTTCCAGCGGGAGATTATAACAAAGTTTGCTACATGCTAAAGAACGCTTATGTCCAATTTGGAACACCACATCTGATTGTTTATGGTCCTTTCTAATCCCTGAGATGGCCTTACTTTTTTGGGGTGAGGGGCTGGCAATAAGGTGAAAGTGGGAACACGCTGAAGAGGGTGGTCACTAGCACAGTTTTCTACACAGAAAAACAACAACAACAACAACAACAACAACAAACCCAAAACACAGAATGGGGATTTTTAAACTAACTTGTTCATGGGTTTCTTGCTTGCTGAGAAACTAGTTTCCCGCCTTTTAAGTAGATACTTACAAACTGTATACAGTTGACACTGGCTTCTTCTTCACTTCACAACGGAGAAGATGTTTCAAACACAGAAAAGCACGAGAGTCTCTACTCCCATCACAAGAACTCCATTTTCAGGACCTCCAGATGCTAACCCAGAGATGAAGGCCATAGGAAGAGTGGGCTGGTGTAGCTGCCCTGGATGGAGGCTGCCCTCCAGACAGGTCTCGTGTCACCTCAACACACACACACACACACACACACACACACACACACACACACACACTCACTCACTCACCCAGTCCCTACACGCGCCAGCTCCGACACAGGGCTATTCTAGAAACAAGTGAGGACGCCTAGGCGCTGGAGGACTCTTCCAACAGTGAGGTCGCTGGGACAACGAAGACCCCTGCAAGGCTGCCACAGCAGCCCAACCCAGCCAGCAGCAGGAGGAATCCACTACCTGAGACGGGGGTCGCCAAAGGCCTTCACACCGCTCGGGGTCCCACAAACCCCGGGGACCCTCAGGGTCCATCACGCCCCCGCTCTGAAGTCCCACGATCCTCCCCTCCCCCCATCAGCCTGCCGCGTCCTCTGGTCACAACATGAGGACACCCTCCACCCCTGGGGATCTCAGACCTAGTTTCCGCTCACGTTCCGCGCTTCCTGCCTACCGAGCTTCCGATGAGCAGACATACTGAACCCCAGCCGGGAACCAGGGGCCCAGCCGCCGCCAGATGCGCGCCCGCGGTGCTTCCGGATTCCTTCCGCGCAGGCCCGCCCACAACATTAGGAATGCCTAATCCGGACTCGAATTCCCCGTCGCCGGCTGCCAATCATCCATATCCGGAGCCTTATTGGTTGGTATAGGGCCCGGGCGTGGCTTAAACTCTAGGAGCCTGACTGTGGAGCCTGCGCGGAAGGCCAGTGGCCTCGTAGCGCTACTCCGGGGTTTGCCCCTCAAGTGGATTTGTGCCAAGACACAGTGGGGACGGGACCGGCTCTGCACACTTGCGGGACTTGGGTTGCAAACTGGAGGAAGGTTGCTGAGGAGAGAAGGAAGATCTGGAAGCTTGAGGCGAGACAAGGTCCTCTCTCGGCCCAGACAGCTGCGTTCTGAGCGCCCTTCACCACAGCTGCGGATGGGACTGGTGCGCCCGCACCCCTGCGGTGCCCACCGACGGCGGCGACCTGGCCCTCTCTTTGTGTTGTCTTTCACCTGAACCACTTTGCTTTTAGTCCGGCGGTGCTTCCGCGCTGGGACCCTTGTGCCCTGTTGACACTGATTCTTCGTCTTTGCATTGCTTCTTCAGAAACAGGATTGCCGAGTGTCTGCACGACCTGCTAGCTGGAAATAACGTTCACGAAAGGTCAGACAAGAGAGGTGCGTGACAAAGAAGACTGTAAGGACCGTATCCCAAAGAGATGAGCTCTTTGAAGAGAATAAGGCAGGGAGCAGGGTTAGAAGCAGGTATTTTTGGTTAGTGGAGGTTATCAAGCACAGACTCGAGGAGCTGAAGGAAGAGGACCTGATGTTATGCAGAAAAAATGCTCAAAACAGAAAAGAAGACATTGTGGTTCAAGTAAAGTGTCTGCCCGCCAGCCTGTGTCGGGAGATCTTAACGCGGGTAGGGATCAGAGCGGAGAGAGGGCGTGGCCTCGGTTGTTGCAGGACTCTTTGGAATAAGCCCTCCTATATCAGTGAGAGTGGAAGGGCAGAGATGTTTACTGATGGACTCCAGCCAGCATAGTTCCCGAAAGGCCTCGGTTGAGGTCCAGTTTGTATTATCGTTTTATACTCTGAAACCACAAGGTGGGGTGGGCAAGCAAGTGAAGTTTTACAGAAGCCTAAGTGGAAGTCTGCAGGTTGCTAAGGGCAACATGACCCAGTGTCTCCACTATTTGCCCGGTCAATGTCATTCTGTTCCAGGTAGAAAGTGAAGACATCCTTGGCAAATAGACAGTACGAGCGGTGCTTTGAGTAAATCAGGAAATAAATCAATAAATCAGTAGCTAAGAATTGGTCTTTGCTGCCTCGTTCTGCTTCACCCGTGACAACCATGGAAGAAGCAACATTGAGTTTTTAACGATGTGGAAAACTGATCAGTTTTGAGCCTAGGAGTGAAACGATGTGATGTAAATGCTACAAGAAGTGACCTCAGCTTCACCATTGAGAGTAAATTGCATCGGGATGAAGCAAGTACACTGTGCACCAGCTGCTACTAGGAAAATGTTGGTAGTTAGCATCTGAGTGGTAACGTTGAAGACTGTAGGAAGAAACGGCCAGGGTGTGGATGGGTTTGAAGACAAAGCAAGAGAGATGTTCTGGATCATCAGGATGGTCTGTGGTTGAAAAGGGGAAGTCTAGAATGGGTTCAGGGTTTTGGTTCAGAAGCGGAGCCGTTGGGATTTCAGGCTGATACGGGGATCCTTTGGGAAGCCCTTTGTTAAGTGGTGAGGGGGAACTTTTGATACAGAAACCTAGGAGACCGTGGAGAGAATGGATGTGGCCAGAGTAGTGGCTAAGGAAGAGCTGAGCCACGACGGACTCTAACCTTTGGGAAGCTGAGAGATGAGGCTCCAGCTCTGGCCCAAGAGAAGGAGTGACTAGAAGGGACAAGGAATGACAGCCATCCTGCAACCAAGTCAAAGGAGAGTTCGCCTGTTTGAAGGCACGGCTGGATTTGCCAAGGGTAGGTCTTTAGGGTCTTTGGCTATAGTAATTCCACTGGCATACAGGACACAAAAGTGCAATCGTTCAAGAAAACAGAAGGTCCTGGATGCAGCGTCTATGCCAGCGTCTGCTAGAGTCCCCAAGAACTCCAGCAAACAGGACACTCCTGTATCTCTCCCAGTTGGCCACAGACACCATCCACTCAGCTGCCAGGCTAGTCTTGGGAAACACAGTTGCTTCCTGGTCTCCTCTTCCCCCCACAGACCTGTCCAGAAAGATCACATCTATTTTGTGCCTCATTGCTCATGGAGACTCCACTTGAAAGTTGATCTCTTCCCAGCCCTCCTGCCGTCTTCCAGCTCTTACCCCACTACCATGCCACCTCTTCAGTTCATAGCAACCAAAAAGATCTTTTTTTAAAAAAAAAATCTGAAAAAAATCTAAAATATTCACTTTGGGGCAGGAGAGATGGCTGAGTGGTTAAGAAATCTTCCATTTCCGCACAGAACCTGGGTTCGGTTTCCTGCAGCCACATGGTGGTTCACAGCCATCTGGAAAGCAGCTCCTGGAGATCTGATGTCTTCTGCCCTCTGAGAGCACCAGCCATGTGCACTGGTGCACATATGCCTTCAGGCAAAAATACTCCTGCACATAAAATAAGCATTTGAAAGAAAATCACTTTAGCCCATCACAGGGCCAGAATCAAAAACAAAAACAAAACTGAGAAAGCATTTGACAAAAATCTAACACTTGTTCATGATTTAGAAAAAGAACAAAAACAAACAAAACTTCTCAGTCAACAATAAGTAAAAGGAACTTTATTCAACTTGATAAGGAACATTTACAAAGAAATCTGCAAATATCATCATCAAGGGAAAAAACAATTAGAAGCTATCCTACAAAGATCATGAACAAGGCAAGGATAGTCCCTCCAGCCACTGACTTCAGTATCATACTAGAAACCCTAGCTAATGTAATCAGACAAGAAAAGGAAATAAAAAGACCGCATATTGGGAAGGAAGAAATAAAAATGTTTTTGCCTGCAAGTGACAAAGAAAATCCTAATGTCCTGGTCAAAATCCCACATAAAATTACATTATGTATAAGACATAATCCCAACTCCTACAAATGTGTCACAAATCCTCCCGACGCGTTGCCTGTCAGTCCACATTCATGAGATGGTCTTTCAGTTCTTAGACTAATTAGTCATTTAGAAGGAAAGGCAAGTCTCTCCTTGGCTCTGGGTCTTCAGGTCTGTTCTTCCTACTGCCAGAACTCTTCTCCACCCCTGACCCCATTCTTCTGGGAGCTTGGGCAGAAGTCAACCTCTGACTTCACCTCATTCATATCAACTTCTGAAGAGGGCTTCCTTTGACATTATCAAAGTTGCCCAGTGATGGAAGTAGAAGGGAGGACGGAAGTATTCTGAGGTGCATCTCAGACGTTTCCTCAAAGAATCTTCAGTAGGATGGGCTCCAGTTGCCGGAAGCAGAGATCACCCTGATGACAAACCCTTTATTAACTTTCCTCCCCTTTCCCACTCTTTTTATTCCTGTTTGGTTTCCAGAGTTAAGGCGTTCAAATAAATTACATTCAAAACCATGTCTTGGGACCGACTGTGGGGCAAACCCAGAGGAAGATGTCATGTAACAGCATGGCTCACAATACTTCTGTCCTTTTCATTCACAGCACAGCACATTTCCTTCGCAGAAGCAAACACGATCCATGATTATACTCCTATAACTTTAGTGTGGCTCCATCCCAAGACTGGATGTGTGCCCAGTGGCAATCTCTTTTCCTGTTTTGTTCACACGTCCACAGCACATAAGTACTCACTAACAGTACCACTCGTGTTTCTCTCGCTGCTGCCATTGCACGAGGTAACAAATCAATGAATGGAAGATGGGGATGTACGTGGAGAGGAGTGAAGATGGATTTTAAAAGTTGATTATGCAGTCTAGATTTTGGTTTGAGGCTTTCCACTGAGACCAGTCGGAATATGCTAAAAGCACTAAGAAGAAGGCATGTCCGATATCTTTGATTCATTTATGTTGTTTTTCACACAATTTGTGCTTTTAAAGTACATGAAAGTTGTTGGTTGATCATATGAAAAACATTTTATGGAGATTGTTTTTGTGTAAAGATCTTGGAATTTTGGAAAATACTGGGTTGTTCACATGTCTCCCTTCTACTCTATACTCATTCATCTTTTTGCAAGTATCCATCTTGCTGATTAAGTTTTGGTCACATTTAAACTTAACAATGGAGACACCCCTCCCTTTTCCATTTCCATTTCCATGGGTCCCAGTGATTTGCCCAAGGTTAGGAAGGTTTGGTAATGGCAGAGCCCAGAGCCCAACGTCAAACTGACTCTTTAGTTGCCAGGGTATTTTACTCTAGGCCACGGTAACTTTCTTCTTAACTGGTCAACAGATCTGAGAAGGATATTTCCATGAACCTAGGACCCAGCACAACGTGGCTAATTTTGCTAAATTTGCCAAACTATTATTGGTTGTCTTCTGACTTCTCTGAGATAAAAGGATAAATTATTATTATTATTAATAGTAATAATAGTTATTATTATTTTGCTTCCACTTCCACACTGCACACGTCTATGTGCTGCAACAAACATGCGTTGAACACCATCCCATCTCAATGCTGCTCTTCCCTGTCTCTGGACCAGGTTTGTTAAGGAAGATAGCTGTTTGAGGTGCAGGGGGTGGGGGTGCCCCTGGAGGATCCCTGATTCCTCTGAGCACAGCACCAAGCAGTTTACAGGCGGGGAGGTAACAGGTGGAGACAGAGAGAGGTTGTATTTCACAGAGCCCAGAACAGCCATGTGCACTCTCAGTGGCCTTGCGAAGCTCTGTAACAGATCTGTGTTCTAGCGCTCCCTCTCTTTGACCTGGGAGCCCAACAGATGTGGAGGACTTCACCGGGAAGAGTCGGGTGCACCAAGGCGTCTGCAGATCCCACAGCTCGATTCAGATTGAGCTAGACCTTTTCAAGCGCACTGTCTTGTGTGTGGGTTCCCACGCCGACCTACAAACACGCCGAGCTCTCGCGGGGTGGGACCTCTCTGCTCCCCC